AGCGAGCACAGACATTAGCAGACAACACCAGATGGTGGGCTAAAATGAGACAACGGAAGAGGGGGAGGAGAAGATAGACAAGATCCTTCCATCATTTCATCATCATCCTTCAGTTTCCCCTCTGTGAACACCAACAAGCTGGCATAAAGACATAAAGACAAGATATACACATATATCAAAAGTTGAAGCCATATCACCGTTTAAAATCAACTGGAACTCGGTATAAAAGTTGGAGCCGTGCATAATGTTTTGTATGAAATGTTAAACTATAAAAAATAATCTCGATGATGACTGCTCACAGTCGTTCACATCTGCATCATTAAAATATCAACAGAAGAAGACAACGTGTTTTTACTGCTCTCTGCATTGGTACAAAGACGGCCTGCACCCGGTAGCAAAATAACTATCAAAACATCAGAATATGAACAATTAATTTAGTTCATGACTACAACCAGAACCATCAGAGCTTTGACACTTTAACGTGAGCTCTGTAGAGAATGACAGGGTACAACATCCTCGTCCTAAAGTCAGCAGATAAGGATTTGTGATTTCAGAATCCAGACCTGTCTGCACATCCTCCAGCCACGTGTCCAACAAAATTGGCAGAGTTGTGTGAAAGTTTGTGAGAATGCTGTTCATGTGAAACAGAAAACTTGACACCATGCGAGATAGCGAGGTGTGATAATACTACCGGGTTTATGCTGGATTTGAGGCGTGAAAAACAAATTCATTGCTTTTATATTCTCTCTTCTTTATTTGCATGTTAACCACAAAAGGTATTATCAAACAACTACAACAAACCAATCAACATTCAGCATTAAGCAAGCACTGAGAGCATCTCCACCAACAAAAGTGACAGCTCATGTGCTTTACGATGTTTTATTATAGTAATGGACATATTCAAGGTAATCTAAAAACTAGAATCATCTCGCGATGGGATCACACCAGCTGCAACGCCAAACCGGGCCGACTTCCTGCCCTCTTGTTTCCGGTACCATTCCTTGGACCACACCTACTTCAGAGTCTGCCTTCTTTTTGATCTAAAAAAATACCAGCTGGTAACTACAAGTGAAAGCTTACACATAGAGGATGAATTTGAAGGCACATGACCACATCGTTGGGGTCTTCTCAACAGTTACACAGTAGAACACAATTCTTATCCTCTCCAATTATTTGGTTTACTTTGATACGATAGTTGAAGAAATGTAACCAAGGAACTCTCACCATTAAAACAGACTACCACTGGACTATTTAATTTCCTGTTGTCATCTCCACTCTAGCGTTGAACACCGGAGCCCCCCAGGGCTTTGTGCTCAGCCCACTCCTGTACACGCTGTACACCCACAACTGCAACCCCTGACATGAAGACAACTCTGTGGTGAAGTTTGTGGATTACACCACCAACATCGGCCAGATTACACAAAAGGGTGGGACTTCGAGATCTTGCAGAGTGGTGCTCAGAGAACAACCTCACCGCTCAACGTCAATAAAACCAAGGAGGTGATTGCTACACGAAACATCCTGACTGGAAACATTACAAACTGGCATGTGCACAGCCCAGGACAAGATGGCTCTACAGTGGGTCATCGGTACCCATCTAACAAGCATCAGTAATATTGGTGAGGTGCCTGTGAAGAGCCGAAAGGATCTCAAGAGACAATACGCACAACAGCCTGTTCACCCTGCTGGCGTCCTTCAAGCGGTACAGAAGTAGCCGCTGCTGCAGCACCAGACGACAGAGCAGCTTCTTTTCACAGACTGTGAAATGCCTTATCCTTCTCATCCTCCTCATCCTCCACAAGCCAACATAAAACAGGTCTTTGTTTGTCTTTCATGTAGCGTAAAGGGAGTGCAAAGTCAGAGTTGATTTCTTGTTGAATTTCTTGTTTGCAGGCCCACATCTTCCTCAGTCTTCATATCATCGATCTCAACATCCACACACACACACACACACACACACACACACACACACACACACACACACAC